TTGGTTTCTTTGGCGATAGTCTCTCTGTTGTTGATCACAGCGGCCCCTACCGCGCTAGCGATCCCCTTCGTTTTCTCCGACGTGGTGACTTTCTTCACAGTAGCCAGACTCTTTTTAACCTTTTCCATGACCGAAGCCTTTGTCTCGACCCTGTAGATGCCATTAGCGACCGCGACTTTGCCTGAACTCACTTTGGTAGACCCCGCGTAGACCTCGCAGTTCGAAGTGCACTGTTTGCACATCGAGACCAGGCAGTCTTTTAGGGTCTGGCGAGTTTGACACTTCGTAGTCTGGACGGATTTTTCGCTCAGACACGTGTAGGACACTGTATTCTCGGTCGAACCGTAAGCCTTCAACGTCAGTCCGTCCAATCTCTGCACAAAGATCCTCGCATGGTCATCTTTCTTTGAGTTTCCTTTGAACAACCTCATGTCTGAGCATCGTTGCATCTCAGAGCAGGCTTGGCACACCAGTTGTTTGTAGTCTTTGAATGTAGACGTCGCTCCTATAGACGAACCATCTACGGTCACGGATTTGCCGCCGCTCAGACAATAAGCGGTGTACTTCTTTTTGCTGGAGCTGGACGCTGCTGCGACTTGTGCTGTACAGAGACATAGCAGTAGTAGTGTCCGAAGCGATGCTTTCTCCATGCTGATGATGAGATTGTCGATTATGCTGATTCGGCCGTGAAGACGAAGAAGGAGCGATAGAACGATTTGTTCATTCTTCACCAGAGTCATATATACAGAGTTCACGACTATTCGGAAATCCCCTATGACTCAGTGGATCTCGATCCTTCAGCGAGCGGTCGGACTCCGTTTCAATGCGGTCGGACTCCGGGGAGAGCCGGAGCGGTCGGACTCATTGTCGGAGAGCTGAGGCGGTTGTCAGACCCCCTTATGATTAGAGGACTGACTTCTCTGCATCATCCGCTCCCTGAGCCGTTACAATGCGTTGGCTAGGCACCGATCTCTTCTCCGCGCTCTCCGCGCTGTTATTACGCGTAACCTTTTGTTTAGGTTGCTCTAAGGACGACGAAGGCTGCTGTCTGTGCCAACCTGGCACTAGTCTAGGCAGCGACGGGACCTGCGCCGACCCGCGGTGCAAACCCTGCGGATTGGACGAGTATTCGGACTTTTACAACCGAGAAGATAGATGCGAAATACAACCGGCTTGTGATCCTAAACTGAATCTCATACAACGACAGGACACCGGGCATGTAGAATATCACATGTACCCCTGTTACCAATGTTCTCCCGTGGGCATAATACACGGTGTATCAGTGAATGATGGACAAACCGAAAACCTAAAGGAGTTATTCACTCCTGCGGTCGCTGGGATGGAATTATCTCTATGCTCCAAAATAATACATTTTGAAACGCACTGCATTCCTTGCCGCGAATATCCCGAAAACCGGGAGGACATTTCTATCCTGTGTCGCCCGAACGTAACACCTCTGCAATTTAACGGGATACCCAAATGGCCTATGGGCTACACACCCCGGAGCATTTTCTACAATCCCCGTAAAGCTATAGGCTGCACCTGCAAATCCGACCATCATTGTTCCAGCAAGATCTGTCGCTCATGCATCCCCGACGAACCTCTAGCGATCTACCCGCAATGGCAATGTTTTGTTACAACAGCACCAATTGCACTCCGTGCCACTTCGGCATCCGACGACTATCTGCACGACGTCTGGGTCGCGGACGGAGATCTTCCTCGGTGTAACCCCTTCCCGGGATTCAAGGACCATGGTTCTCGCTGTTTAATTTGCAAGAACGACAATGGATTTGTCTTTGCGGTATGTCGTAACTTGCACAAACACGCGGAACTAAATCTTTATGCTGACGCAAGCGGTATGCAGATGAGACCGCTGGAGTGTACGAAAAGCGGAATAAATATCCCTGAAATCCCTGAACTTTATGGGACAACTATAGTTCCACAGCAGCAGCTTTCTGCCACCACGGCTGTCAGCATCGCCGTATGCAGTATTTTGGTTATGATCGCAATCATCCTCTATGTGTTTTCAAGGAAAAACGAGAGGTTTCGCGAACTCATCGGAAGGTCAATACGCGCGACATCTGGGATCCGTTTCATCTCCGCCGTCACCTATAAAAGGCGACAAAAACAGATCGACGAAGCTGACGCCGAAAGCCTGGGCAAGGAGAGTTATCATCATCATCATCATCATCATCATCATCATCATCGAGAAAACACCATCGTGTTACCGAGGTGTAACAAAGCAAAAATCATTTCAGCCGTGGTTATAATCCTTACGCCTCTAATAGTTTACGGAGGTCTATACGGAACGGACAGGCTGATGCAGAGCTACTGCGATTCGGCCGTGTCGGTGTACACTTTCCCGCTGGGCTACGCGGTCAGCGAGCGAGGCGTGGGACAAGCGCAGGCCATATCCCTCTCGGGCTTCTTGGACAGATGCAAGCAGCAGAACGAGTTCACGGTGCCCTCGCGGGTCAAGTTCCACAAAGCGATCAAGTGCTTAAAGGCCAGCAAGCAGTACAAGAGGACGAAGTCTTCCGCCTCCGCGAACAAGGACTCTCACAGCTCCAGGAACTCAG